TAAAAAGATTGAAATTACGCAGAAGTGGATTTTGAAAGTTATGTTGAACAAAAAGAAATGTTATCCCTCAGAAAAATCTAATAAAACTATCAGCTAAAGATCATTCTATTTTCTATGCTCAAAATTTTATAATGTTATTCCTGCGAACCTTAAACATATAAAATGTATAAAACGTTTAAAAATTGAATTAAAATCATGGATCCTAAATCAACCAAGGCTACAAATCCATAAGTTTGTTGACACTAAAAACCGATATGTTATTTAATCATAAAATGATGCAAATTTATACTATTATACTTAAAGAAAATTTGTTGTACTAATATAATTCAACTTCGGTTAAATCTCAAGCATAAGTGTACACTTTTTTTGGGTATATTATGTTTATTGGACATTGCCGTTATTATTTATACGAAAACTTTGTAATTGGACCAATAAACATTATTATTATTATATCATTAGACAAAACTGCTAAAAATTAAAAATGATGATAGCATGATAGCCTGTTCTCTTTATCAAAATGTCAACGACAATAAAATGTACGGCACGTGACTACATGCTAATTTCTTTTAATTTTATTTTTTCTAAATAACAATAATATGTAGTTCTTACAACAAATGATAGTGTTGACTGTTATCTCCAAGTCATTTGATGCAGTTCCACAAGTGGGCACAAGCCTATTGTCAAACTCACGGGTTGAAACCCATCGAATTGTAGTATAAACTTGCATCCTGATCTCTGACTACGTATTTTTGGTTCAAAACAAATCGTGTACTCGCTCCTTCTCCTAGTCTGAATTATTCGTTGAGTTCTTAAGCTCTATTTTCCGCTCCAACAACATTCTGCTTCGAATCCGAGCATTACTTTCGAATAATAGCTTCGCTATTGGTCAGCAGTATTTGGTTTTACTCTATTTTCGGTATGAATGTGAGCATACGTGCGGAAGAAGGAAAAACAACCGCGGCCGTATTGTGTAGGGTTTCCGACAACAAGCCTTAAGGCGGGCTTACATAGCTTTTTAATTTTTTCTGTACACAAGCATGTGCATGAACGCAAAAGTGAAGTAGGTACCGAGACCGAGTCACACGGTGGAACTGGGAAAGCCTCTTCAAGTAGATTAGTTCAGGCATCAGTGCATAGGATGCGATTAAACTGGAAGAAAGAAGCAAAAGTCTTTGTTTAACCCTCTGAGGTCTGTACGCCAAGATCCAATTCTTCAGTTCGTCCATGCAAGGAGAGACTATTGCCATTTATGGTACCTGCGATAGATTCATAAGCTACAATTACAAAGGAGGTCATATCATTTTTTAAACGGAAGGACATGTTCTGCATGGCAGATTTGAACAAACTCTTCCTCAGAAGATTAATATAGCACTTATCATTATTTCCCTTTTTACCCTTCTCTTTCCTCAAGGCTACAGCCGCATCTAGATGTGATGGGCATACGTTTTCACTTTGATATTTTCGATGCACATCAATTTGGGCCTAATGAAGCACAAACGTATGCCGCTCGGGTTACCAATCCTAATATTTCCGCTCCTGTTGCTTTGTTGCGAACATGTCCACGATTGCTCGTTGTTTTTCAAATGTTTCCGCAGAACTACTTGTCTTCGTTTTGTTTTTATGGAATTCTCAATTTCCTTTAGTCATTCACTAACAATTTGAAATATACTCTAAAACCTTTGACCATTTTATCAGTAAGAAGCCTGTAAAAGTGCAGTTGGTAAAGTATGCATGACGTTCCATTTAATTTTGGAATAAAAAGTGAATTTTGTATTTTTGACTACTGATCATTCAACAATTAAAAAAAAATGTTTACACAAAATTCAATAATATTTTCATATTCCATATTTTTCCATTTGACACTTACACATTTTATATTAACCATGTGCCTATTAGTCAGAGTGTTTCGTGAGTGCATATTGATAATGTTTCATGTATTATTTCTCAAGTTGATGGCAGTGTTTAGGTAACCGATGCGATTGAAACTTAAAATGCCGTCTGGGGTTGGTAAACTATCTTCTTTCGGAGCTGGTTGAATAGTTAGTCAACCAACCCGAATATAATTTGAAGTTTAAAATATCTCGTAAATTAACCTTTTATTATATTCTTTTTGTTACAATACAATAATGACCTATGAAAGAAGGACTGAACGAGCTGATACACTGAAAGATGTCCTAGAAAGAGCTTGTCATCTAATAATTTTTGACACAAAAAGTATTAATGTAACATCAAAACAATATGACATTTCCTATAAGACATTACATCGTTATGTGGCGAAACTAAAGGAGAAATTGAAACTTGACGAGAGCAGAATTAACTTTGCACTCAGTGGGATATATTAAAAATAGGCAAGTTTTCACTGATGAAGACGAAGAAGCTTTAGCAAGTTATTTAAGGAAAGCCGCTGATATTTATTATGGATTGACACCATATGAGAGAACGAGCAAGATACAAATCTGAAGCAAACGTATATTGAAAGAAAAAAGCAACATCGCAAACTGATCTCAATGGCCAAGCAGCAATATAACTGCAACGAAATTAAAACAGCTGATAATGAGACAAAAAGATCTGGCAAATAGTCAACCAGGAGCTTGGACGTAAAAGGAACTCTGGAGTAACTTCACTTAAAAATGACAACGGTGGAGATATGGGACAGATTAATGTGCCTGACGCTTTTGGGAAACATTTTTCAAGCACAGTAGTAAGTAAGCTCCAGCACCACTTCAAAGGAGTCTCCCCACTACCAGCAGCAAAAGCTAAAACTCAAGTAGCGCATTCAATGTTCTACACTGAGGTCACCGATGAAGAAGTGAAATTAATCATATCCAAACAAACAATCGTGTGGTAGTGACGGTGTAACTACTCGTGTTATTAAAAGTGTTTTAAATGAAATTGCAGGCCCTCTCACTACTTTTTAACATGTCTGTCTATCAACGCAAATTTCCTAAATCCCTGAAGCTTGCGATAATAGTTCCCGTTCCAAAAAAGGGAGATCCTACTCAAGTTGATAATTACCGCCCCATATCATTGTTGTCAATCTTTTCTAAAATCATCGAAAGAGCGATTTATTCAGGAATTTTGGGATATTCTGAAAAATTCAACTTTATCCCAAGCTCGCAGCATGGATTTAGGAAACTTCATTCAATAGAGACAGCTACTTATGAGTTTGTATGTCAGATATATAAACAGCTCGATATGAATAAATGTATCGCAGGCATCTCTTTTGACCTATCGAAAGCTTTCGATACAATTGACATTGGACTTCTCGAGGAAAAATTATTTTATTTAGGTTTAAGAGGTTTTATATTAGATTGGGTAGTGTCTTTCCTGTCTGACAGGAAATTCAAAACAAAAGTTAACGGAATTACATCCGCAACGTACAGTATCGACATTGGAGCAGCGCAAGGCTCAGTTTTAGCACCCCTTGTATTCATTCTATATATAAGTGATTTGCATCTCTCTGGATTTGTAACAAATTATGCGGATGATACGTCAGTTCTTGTAAGTGGAACTACACGCAATGACATTATTGCAAAACTAAATGGAGTAAAAGGTGAAATGAAACGGTGGTGCCAAGCAAATCGTTTGATTTTAAACCTCGAAAAGTCAGATGTTGTACATTTTCATACAAACGCCCCTATTCTTGCAAATCATGAGACATCGAAAACTACGACATTCTTGGGAATAGAAATGGATGGCAACAACACATGGACAGTGTGTGTAAAAATTTGAACCAATCATATTATGCGATTCTTAAGCTCAAGTTTTGCTTTTCAGAGTCAGCTTTACTAGATGTATATTATGCTCTCGTCGAGAATCCTGCAGAGATATCTTCAGAAGTAAAAACATCATGACTCTACCAAGCATTCATATTTATAAGTGCGCCCTTTTCACACATACAAACAAAACAAAATTTATACAGAACAAAAACGTCAACACACATTATAATACAAGGGCAGGTGAGAGTCTGGGTATTCCAAAACACACACTGACGCTGTTCGAAAAGTCACCGGAATGCACCTGCATCAGAATATATAACAAACTTTCAGCTAACCTCAGGAATGTCAGTAATATTGCTAGTTTTAAATTTGAACTACGAAAATTATTAGTTGAAAGATGTTTCTACTCTTTGTCTGAATACCTCGCACTGTGATATATTTTTTAAACTTTTTTTATATGTGAATGTCTGTACGCCTTAAGTTGTCCCTGTTTGCACTTTGTAAATACTTATGTTTGTTTCGTTTTTATTTTTAATCATGTGTACTATGTACCTCCCTCTTAGGACGAGCCTTATGTCATTTTTTATGATCTACAAGACAATAAATGTACCTATCTATCTATGAGACCCGAAAATTAGCATGTCAGTTGGCCGAAAGTAACAAAGCTATGTCTGATTCTTGGAGAACAAAATTGTTAGCTGGCGAAGATTAGCTACGGTCGTTTCTCAAAAGTCATCCTTCTTTATCCGTAAGGACAATTCAAGCAACGAGCCTTTTAAGAGCTACATATTTCAACAAACATAACGTCAGTATGTTCTTCGCTAATTTAACTGCTGTTTACCAACGTTTGAATTTAAGCCGTGGTGATGTATGGAACGTTGTTGAATCAGGTATGACAACCGTGCAAATACCTAATAGAGTAATAGCACGACTGGTGGCAGTTGCAGTAGCTAGGAAATATAGTTCCACCATTTTTCGTATTCCCACGCGTCCATTAAAGTCCCAGTGTGTTAGTGGTGGCCCTATAGGATGTGAAGGTGATGCTAATCCGCCACGCTGGATGAAATAAGAGAACTTTATGAAGTCGCCAAGAATTTGGTGAAACATGTTAAACCTAGTAAAGAAAAACCTGTACTTTAATTGTTTGATAACCATGACTCTTACTTATCAATTGAAGCGTTGGATCACTTTAAAACCAATTGGGTGACAGTTTTATCATTCCCTCCACATTGTAGCGACAAGCTACAACCTCTTGACAGATCTGTGTACGGACCATTGAATATGTATTTCAACCGAGCATGTGACAACTGGCTGGCTAGAAACCCGGGACAGACTATCACAATTTATGAAATACAGGAGCTGATTAAAACGTCAGTACCAGCGGCTGCTACAATTGAAAATATTCAATCAGTATTCGGAGTATCCGGGACTTCACCATTGAATGAAAACATTCTTCCTGACTCCGAGTTTAGTGGTTCTTATGTGACAGGTAGGCCGATGCTCACTTCCCCTGTTGGTGATAATTCTTCAGCATGTGATGTGAGTACAGTGTCTGTGCCATCAACTTCCGATGCAACTATCGTCGAAGAGGTTCCAATTCCTGATCACCATACAATAACTGAAACTCACTCTCCGGCACCGCAATGTTTATCTGTAAATACAGACCAGATTACTACCACAATACCCTTTCTTGCAGATCTTTGAGGACTGAATGTGAGTCACCTTCTCTTTTTGACGAAACATTCAATTCTGTATTTGAACCGGAACTAAGAGAAAACCTCAAACACCAGAAAACGTTAATTCTACAGAAGCAAATGTGCCCCATCTTTACACAATCTAAACCTTTACTCAAGTTTATCAGCAACATTTGAAGAGCTAAGACCCTTTCCAAAAGCGGCGCCACTTTTAGAAAATAGAAGCCCGGAAAAACTAAATCTTTTAGATATGAGGAACAAAAGAGAAACATATAAGAAGAAAAACAGATACAAACGACATAATAGGAAAAGGAAAAGGAAAAGGAAAAGGAAAAGGAAAAGGAACGGATATGGTTGATGAGATTGCTGATGACACCGTCGATGAAAATGACGATAATACTGTAGATTCAGATGACGAGAGTATGATTTGTTTAGAGTGCACTGAACTCTATGTCTATAGTGTTTCAGGCGAACAATGGATTCAGTGCATAACTTGTAAGTTATGGGCTCATTCAAAATGTGTAAGAGTTGATCCAATTTTTTTTGAATGCAAACATTGCGTTTCTGATATTAAAGACTTATATTATAAGATATAAAGGAACTGTTTAAATAATGGAGCTAATAAATGTTTAAATAAAAACTAGGAGTTGATAGTTTGTTAAAGACTAATTGTAAGATAATATCTGTAACTGATTAAAACTGTTTTTGAATAAAAAGTTTGTTAAATTATAAAAAGTTTCATAATTTAACTCTTCTCATGATTTGTCACTTATTGATACGTAAGTGTACTTACCCCGGGCATATAGTCAATCTACCCGGAGCCGGGGCAAATTGACTAAGAATTGGTGTTCTGTAAAATGCGTTAAATTTTGATCATTATATATATAATGGACTGGTTTTTATATTTTTTATAAGTTCAACAGTTCTTCTATCCATTGATGCAGTTTTATTGTCTATATCTATAAAAGCACAAAAAATAGGTATGATGTTGTAAAAAACTGGTCAACCATCCCCGGTCTCCCCTACCTCAACACTAACTAATAGTGAAGAATGTTATATTAATCTTTTCCTGAAGGGTCTATCCAAATGTACAAAGAAAACATATCTCTACATTAAAAAGAATCAACTTTAACATGTGGGTCAAAATTGGAACAGAATTGTGAGTATTTTAGAAAATTGACGTTTTCTACGAAAGGCGGGAGATCAACTGGACTACACCGACTAATTAACTAACAAAAATGTTTTAATTTTCTGACGAAAACCATTTTTTCATAAGTTCAAAGGTCGATCTCTGTATTTTATACCCAATTGCGCGATGGTCTGTTCTGAATCATGAATAAAGGCTTTATTAAAACATTTTCATCGCTAATGGAACAAAGGAATTTTTCCAAACAGGATGCGAATGCTGCATTGTTTTTAGCGTATTATAAAAGATGAATGGGATTTCTAACAAAGAGAAATTTTATGTATATACAGCGAATTGGTAGTGTTATGTGATTAAAAATAATAAATATATAGAAGGGTACAAAGAGTTTCGATAAAATAATATTCGAACCGCATAGCAAAATTTTTGCTACAAAAATGATAATCAAATTATGTTTATCTATGATTTATTTGTTATGACAGAACATCGGAAAAAATAGGGCATGATATAAATATACAATATGTTGTAGGTTTAAAGGGTGAGTTGATTGGAGTCTTGACCCCTAGACGTTATGGTTTGTAGTTAGATGAAGGAGGATTGATTGTGATACGTGCAAAAAATTATGAAAGTGCACAGACATTCAACTCCTAAGGCGTGACCGTTAAAGTCCTGAGAGCTTTAATTTTAACAAACACAAAATAATATTAAGTTGTCTTTGGAAATGAAAGTTGTTTACTTACTTTACTGACAGTTGGAATTTATTTATTTTGAAGTTTTCGCTTTCAAATGTCGTATAAATTTGAAATAGGAAAAGTATCTCCACGTTATTATATTCCAGAATGAAAACATTTCACGCAGAACCATTTATAGAACAATAGCGGGGTGCGAGCAGGGATTACCATGTCTGAATCTGCGAAAAGGTGGAAGACCACGTGTATTACTGCACAGAGGTCAGAGGGATTGGTGAAAGAGCAAAAATCAGGTTGGAATGTCAACAAGGAGACTGGCTCGTCAACACAGATCTTCTGAGTATGATAACGGAAGAGACTTAAGTGCCCCAAATACTCTCAAGTGCAACTCTTTCGCTGTTCTCGCGGCAACACCTGCCAAAGGAAAATCATTATTTTAGATGAGCAAGAGTATTTGACTTTGAGTGATTCTAAAATGATGGGAAACGACGGATTTATAGGTCAACGTAGAGATATGCCCCGACAATGTCAGATAAAAACATAAAGCGAAATTTGAAGATCAAATCCTTGTCTGGTGCACAATTTCTAACAGGGGTGTTCCAACTAACAATTATCGCTCCTATTAGAGTTGCAAGAATGATTATACAGTATTCCTTAAACAACATTGTATATTGTAACAACATTGGCAAAACCCTCTTAGAACTGCTAAACAAGCGGAATGGGCACACCTAATAGGACACTTCAGTCATCTAAGAGGTTGTATAAGGGCTGCAGCTAACAGTTATACAACAAAAGTGTAAACCTCTTGCAGCCGCTAAACACATTTGCGTCAGTGCAAGATTCAGTTTTTGTCAACTATACAACTATTCTGTTACATGATTCTACTTTATTGCAACCAAACTATTTCTTATGTATTGTATAGACGAAGAAGAATATATAATTAACACATTACAGTCATCTTGTTTACTTACATATCGGCCATTGTGAATTTCATACACAGGTATATGATAAACTTCTACACTGTGATATAGGGCTATTGAATTACTTGCGCAGCAAATTTTATTGTGATTATCGTGCAAATTAGTTACGCAATTTCTACGGGCTTCGTATTTGATTCATATTTTGATAATGATCAAAGTATGTCTAGATTTTTAAGATGGACAACTGAACTTATCTGCGTTAAATCTTCCACAAATCCTATATTTAGACGCAATTACACTAATGTTTGTCACTTTATATCTGTAATTTCGAACTGAAACATAATTATTTAATATTAAATAGACGAATAAATGTTTGCCCATATGGCGGGTGGTTGTGTATAATCATGGCATCGTCCATGTTGTCTTTAGGTTATTAGAATATTTTGGTGTTGCCTGCAGGTGTTATAAAACAATTTGACAAATGTCTGAAATGAAATACCGACAGAGTCGAATGATTTACCCAGAATTTGTACTAGATCTATATCTTCTGTTTGAACAGTTGATTTTGAATCAATATGCATGCGTTGTTTGTCTTAAAACATTGGTTATGGCATTTTAACAAAAATATGACTGCAGAAAGTTAGGTTATGGTGAA